TGAGAAAATTATATATATTCATCTCTAATATATCTCATTATAGAGATTTGGTGGGATAATCTCAAATATTGTCCTTTGAATATTTTAACGAAAATGTAGATTGGATTTCGGTATATAATCTGCTTCGGCCTTGTTTCCTTTGTATATGTAAATAAACTGTTATTTTAATTTTAAAATCTGATTGAACATTAATATTTAAAAGATAATATGTATTTATTGTTTTGTTGTTGTGTTTGTGTTCTATTGACAATTTAAAATTTTATATTGATGTTGATAATTACTATGTATTATTTTTACTGTTTGATTTTTACGAAATATGATTTGAAAGTTATACTTAACTCTTTTATATGTATAATGTATCATTACAAAGATAAAATATTGTATTACTATAAGGATAGTAATGTTTATAATACAAAGATATACTTTATTTGTATGGGGTTCTTTCCTCAAAATAAATTAAAAAATTAAATTAAAAAAAATACTTGGATAATATGGTATGGAACCGACTAGTATGTAAGTGTTGTCAATTTTTAGATATTATTAACAGATAAATACTAAGTTCCACAGTGAAACCGAAACAATTTAAAATTAATTTATTTGTGAAAGAATTAAATTTTATTTAAAAATATAACAACTGCCAGGACTTTAGATTGTTCTGGATTAATTAACCCTATTATTCCAAGTTGTATTTATTCTGTTAAGCAAAAGAATAAATTTTGAATTTAATAAAACTACAATTATAAATTTTAAACATTTGAATACTTTCAAGTCTCATATCGTCAGTACCTTGTTAAAGCTATGTCAACTCGTCCAATGTTTCACATTTGTAACCACACCATGGTGACTGAAATTTTGAAATTCAATTTGAAAAATATATACATAGATAAATAGCTACAATTAACAAAATTAAATAATAATATTAACTAAGTTGTGTGCTTTAAAATATATGATAGTAGTTAAAACAAGGCGAGATTAATAATATGAATTTATTTTGTTAGATTAGTTTATTTCTGTTTAGTTTAGTATCTTTTAATTTATATTTTTATTTATTGTGCATATTATGAATGAGCTAATCTATATCACTATTACTATTGTCCTTGAATGTCAGGTTGTAATATATCTTAATAAAGACTATTTAAAAAAAAATAATATGAAATACAGAATATAAATATTAGCTCATTATAAAGAGGATGAAATGCTGAACACATCTCTCGCTTACAGTATGCAGATCCGATATTTAGTTTCTGAGATATTTTAATTCATATCTTCCATAAAACACGTTATCATTTGGTTTTTGGCACAATTTTTCCTTTTCGCCTTTCTAACACGGCGTTGCGTTAAGATTTAATTTTGAATAATAGTTCATTACAAAGAAGATGAAATGATTTTTAGTTTTTCAGATATTTTAATCCATATGCAAATCACTTCAATTACCCGACTCCAGTCGACTTTACCCGAGCGTTACACATCGTAGATCTGACGGCTCAATCTAATTCACTTTAAATGTTACACAAAATCATCCATAACGACCTTAATGTTCCTTATGTTTCTGACTTGGCCCAATCCAGATACCTATCCTTCCATAATAAACTTCAAAACCATCCAAACCCTATCGCTTCTAACCTTGCTTCCTCTTCGATCCCTGACAACCCTCAGAGGCGCCTGAAAAGAAGATGGCCTCGAGATCTCCTTTTGTAAATACATTTTTAGAGTGCTACCAATGGGTAGTTTCTCAACATGTGATGTCATGCTATTTTATTCCTTTGTTCACATTTACTGAATGTATTTTTACTTGTAATACAGTTGTAAATATCACCAATAAAAAAAAAAATAAAAAAAAAAAAAATGTTACACAGGACATGTTTTGATTGTTTTGTGGTGATATGCTGTGCCTATTTGGTTCCTCTTGCTTAGACTGTTTATGTAAGGATATGCTGGCTTTATTTATGGACTTAAATATTATTTCACAACATTTTTAAAATTCTAAAATGAATAAAAAAATTATACAAATTTTATCTGTATAATATCGAATGGTAAGCTAAGATCGATTAATTTTTAAGAGCATTCATCCGAATCATGAGTAGTTTCTTGGTGATTATAAATTACACAATTAGCGAGAAGTTATAATAATCGTTATTATAGCAGTTGGGTAATAGATGGTACTCGGCGATTACAAGCCGCGGTTGAAGATAATTGTCCGAGTGGTCAGGAGTTGATAATGTTGATGTTTGAATGCCCGTTGCGATATGCGGAGGCGAGGTTTACATTCAGTCTTCGAAGGACGAATATTCGCACGCTGTGGTCGAAAAGTCTTTCCCAACTTCTCCAAAACTCCATTCAATACTTAATATTATAAATTTTTTTATTTATTATTACGTATTTAGGATATAGGACCGAAAAACAAAGATTTATGAACCTATAATAGTTTATAGCCTAATAAATTAACATACTTGTTTTATTCATTTATTTAAGTAATTTTAATATCATTTTCTCCAAATTTCACCAAAACCTTACATATCATCCAAATCCCCTTGCACAATCTCTATCCAGCACCACCCATCCTTACAATCCTCCTCGAAGGTTGAAGCGGCAGTGGCCCAGAGACCTTTTGTAAATAAGCATCTATTGGAGTTTTGGCAATGGCCAGATCCTCCACTCAAGCCCGAGTGTGTATGATTAGGTTAGTTCTTTTGTTTATATACATTTATTTTATTTTATTGTATTTATTTTTATTTTATTTTATTGTATTTATTATTGTTAAGTTTCTGTATTATTTATTTTGTTTTTTATTGTAAATAGAGTGTGAGTGTGCTTTCTCTGATCACTATTATAAATGTCCTTGATGTGACAGAATGTAATATTTCTAAATAAACAAATATATAAAAAATAAAAAAAATATCATTTTCGGCACTTGTGAGCGACGCGGCCTCTATGGACTGCTATCTGCAGTTATCTTGTTATTTAAAGTGTTGTTGTTGTTATTTATATTTCTTATTATTAAATGTTTATCAACATTGATCAACACTGATAATTGTTATAAGGCACTGATAATCCCTATCTTTATATGAAATTAGACTCTCGTATAATAAGAAATATAAATATATTTGGTGTTGCCTCTTTTTTGCCTGTTTCTTATTAATATATACAAATATATATATTAATAAGCAATATAAATATAATAATAATATAGTAATTTAATAATAAGAAATATAAATAACAAGATAATTGCAGATAGCAGTCCATAGAGTCCGCGTAGTTCACAAGTACCTTATTTTCTTTCTATTTTAATTTTGTTTATTTCTCAACAGCTGTAAATATGACCAGGATGTAACACGTACTCCTACTCCTTTACGGGCAAATACATACGTAGGACAAACTTACTTCTCTGACTTATTAAGCAAAGTATTTAAAGCACTATGTTTGGTTTTGATAAGATATAAATTTTAGGCAATGAAATAAAAATAAAATAATATCTCGAGAAATATTCATATTACAGTTAATCGACATTGTATGGTTGAACACAGGAAGAGTTTAAAAAATAAAAATACCAAAAAAAAAATAATAGAGCAAATATCACAAATTCATATTCTTTAAATAAATGGTGACGATCTTAATAGGCTAAATAGTGGCAAAACTATTTTATTAAAAGCCAACGTTTCGACCCGACTTTGCATGTCTTCTTCAAAAAGGTGTGTTCAGCTAGGAGTTTCACAACCCCTGACCATCCCCTTCCTTTATAATGCAACGGTCAACCATTAAATATTCAAAAAATATATATATTCTTAATTTCAGGACGACTTCAATTTTTTTTTTTTTTCTGAGGATGTAACATTTATCAACAGAAACGAAATATATATCTAAAGTATTGCTTATATACAAAAGAAAACAGTTCATTTTTCCTCTCAAAAGTAGTAGGTTTGCTTGAGATCGACAATATTATCTATATAATATAATACACTCGTTCTTGATCTTCTGATTTATATATAAGGGCACACCGAACCACTGCTTTCGACAAATCGTATGGAACTCCATCCCTCCCCACATCCGTCAATCCAAAACCCTTCCTACCTTTAAATCCCAACCAGTCCTCATAAAATTGTAAATTGATACTACTGTAAATATGTATATAAATTATTAGTTCGTTCTACATTTTTTTTTATCAATTTTTTTATTATTAACTGATCAAAATTAGAAAGTAACTTATAGATATATATATATATTTTTTTCACTAAGACTATTCCATTACTCTGTATTTTTATTTATGTATCACTGAGGCTCCTTAGCCCACATTTCTGTCTTGCTGAATTATTCTAAAGGGATTCGTCCCAGAATAAATAATGTACTATTATTATTATTATTATTATCCTAATAATTAAACCAAAATTATTCAATTAATTAAAAACAAATTCGATGTTCTTATTTTTGAAAATAGTTCTACTATTTTTCATAAAATTCGAATTTCAGATAGTTCGATTCGGTTGGATAAAGCCTATATGATTATATTATATAAAGTAAAAATTTAAAGATAGGACATCCACAGTTCAGGTGAGTTTTATTCCATCTCTAATATAGTTTATTGCTAAGAAGAATGTAATGTATTTTTTGTTCATTTTTTTTTAAGTGTATACTTTACCACTGCACATAATTTTAAGTGTCTTGGCATGGTTTCAAGTGTTTTGTATACAGATTTTTTGTATTTTGTATATAGTATGTTTAACTAAAATTTTATTTATTTTTGCTTAGGCTACTACTTAATTTATAATACTTTAATTTTGTACTTTTTTGTTATTCTAAAGGTACTTCGTCCCAGAATAAAATTATTTTCTATTCAATTGTATGTATAAATAAGTATGTATTGGAAATCATGTCTTTTATCGGATAAGAATATTTAAGAAAATGTTGCTGAATCATATGAAGAATGGTGAGAATGATGATGAAGAATGAATATTGAATGAAGTTAGATGATGATGATGATTAATGTATATGGATGATGATCCTACCTTTTATCGACCCTGATGACGTGTGAGGTTGCTGTGAGTTGTGCGGCAAATCGCCTTCGTCAGGATCCAGTTTGGAACCAACCGAGTTCCACATTTCGAACATGTCGGAACGATCCGTTCGATGTCAGGTATTATCTTGACAGGATTCTCCACTTCTCTGCTGCATCTTCGTCGCTAACTGCTCCTCAGGAACTCGGCTGCCATTTCGAGAAGAGAGTCCTGAATGACAGTCATAGGCGATCAGCCGATGCGGCAAGGAGCCGCGAGAGTACAGTGTAAGTCAGTGTAATAATGACGTGCGGGGGGAGGACATTCTCCAGAACCGAGCAATACTGAAACAACGATCAGATCGCCTTTGGATATTGCAAGAACAAGAAACAAAAGGAAAATCAGGAACCTATCTAAGCAGAAGTGGAATTTTGAATCATTCGAAAAAAAAAATAATTAAAAAAAATAAGACCTCGATATATGAAAGAAAAATCATAATTAAAAAAAAAAAGTCTCCTCTTCCCCATTAATCCTCAACTCATAGATTAATTTTGTTGAAATAGGAGAGTCGAAAGTATAATAAGTTTTGTATCGATCTATCTATATCTAGCAAAATCTTGAATTATACAAGAGACATTAAAAGAATTAATGAATGTAAAATTAGTAGACAAATAGATTAATATAATAATAATATTGAACAATTTTTATCACCCATAACACTTGGAGGAAAACTTTTCCAATAAGCTTCTTCATTCAACGGAGGAATTAAATTGGAATATGGAAATCATTCAAAGTTTGTATAAGTATTTTTTTTCTATTAACATAATATGATCGTTAATAATTTAATTTTTTTTTTTTTACTTTAATTATACATCCACAACGATCTAATACAGTATTCACAATAGTGGATTGTTTGTCAACATGAGAAATAAAATAATAATCGCTTGAGGATTTTATTATAGATAAAATTTTGAAAAGTAATACCTCGAGTTTTGAGTTCTTAAAGATTTTTCTGTACTCGGAAAATTCGAAATCGAATTTGAGCTATAAAAATAAAGAATGACGAGGAATATGCATATTAGATAAAATGGATGTTGCATCAATATATAGTAATTCAAATTGCTCGAGATACTACCAATGAAATAAGAATTATTTCCAAAATCCCCAAAACAGACATTTTCCGTTCACTAAGTAAAATAATTGTCAATTAATAGCAGAATTTATATGACTGGGAGTCTCAAAGCAAAGGGAGAGACCGGTATTCAATCCAACCAAAAATCTCGTTAAAACTTTGGTTCGCCTCTTTTGGAATATGTTTGGAAAGAATTGAGATGACAAATCTAATTAAGATGAGGACCAATCACGGGAATACGGGAAATTCTTAAATTTTATAAAAATAAAGGTGAAACCAAATTGTGAGATATGTGACGAAGTCGAGCAATATTCATGTAAGCGTTTTAGTAAAGTGAGGAAAAAATGAATCGAGAGCTCGGCACCCAATATTTTTAAAATAGTAAAAGAACAACATCGTGAAGGACTCAGTCAACTTAGAAAGTTCAGTAGAAAAAAAAATAACGGCTTTATTACATGAAAAAATATAAGCAAAATAGGAAAGCCAAAACAAAATCTAGTATTAATTGTATTGTTCAATGGCTTAATATGATCAATATTATTTATCAAAGACATTAGAGATATATTTCTCTTTCATAATTCGTTTTTAATAATTGAAATTTACAACCGTCGTAAACCTTTGAATTCCTGTCCTACAGTTTCCTTTAACAATTCCCCACTTATCCCTGTTGAACAAAGCCGATACCTAGGACTTCGTCTGGGCAAACGACTCACTTAAAATCTTCATACAAGACTGAAACGACAAGAAACTGCTCGACGTTCTCGACAACTCCAGAACCACCTAGACAAGCGCTCTAAACTTTCAATATATTACAAAAGACTAATATACATGACTATAATAAGGCCTATTTGGACTTACGGAATTGAGATTTGGGGTCCAACTAAACTACCGAATTCCTCTCGTATCCAATCCTTACAATCCAAAATCCTCAATGCTACTTACTTTGTCAAAAAAATAAAATCATCCATAACGATATTAACGTACCCAAATCATCCGAACCCACTCGTTTCAAATTTTGCTTCCTCTTCGATACCTGATAACCACCAAAGACGTCTGAAAAGATGATGATCTCGTGATCTACTTATATAAATATATTATTAGTGTGCTACCAATGGGTAGTTTCTCAACATGTGATTGTATCATTCCTGTGTACACATTTACTATATGTATTTTTTAATTTAATATATTTTTAAATATCATGAATAAATACATTTTTTAAAAAATTACAACTTAGTCTGTACATTTTTCAATCTGAAGTCCTTAAATTAACTGGATCCTAAAAGTGAAAACTAATGACATACCGAAAGTTTTCGAGTGTGAACGTGTATCCCGGAGGGAGGGGAAAGACTTCCCGAAAATCCTGCCCGACTTTCTCCCAACTGAAAGCGAAAGTGGATGTGGGAAACGAGCAGGCAGATGCTTGATATTAATGAATAATGAGTGAGTAGTAACAAAGGAGGTCGGGATATGTAACGTGGTTGGAGGGGGGGGGAGGAGAAAAGAAAACGGGTGTTTTGGACATTTCGGAACGATATCGAAAGTAGGGGGGACTTTACGATGGGGACAAGAGTGGCTCTTAGACAGGTAGGGGAAGCAATCGTAAACATTGCGAGGGGATACAAGGTGCAATGTACCCTTAGGTCAAACAGTAGAAAAAAAAACACACAAAAAAAAGATCAAAGCACAAACATTATACACTTTCTATACACCGCGACATCTCAATGGCCAAATAACCTCATTTCCATTTGTACACATGTTCAGGTAACAAAAATAAAAAAAAAATAATAATAAAAATTAAATGTATTAAATGTATATTGTATGATAACGACAAATGGCCAAAAAAAGTTTTCATATATAAGGTAGAGTATAGCAAGAAGTGGGAGAAGCGAAGAAAAATTCTGGAGTTCCGAATAAATTAAACAATAACAAATCAGATCAAAATCGATCTATGTAACAGGATTGTATTATTATTATTTTTTTTAAATAACTACCTCCTCTTTAGAACTTTTCAAAAGATAAACGTACGTACAAGTTTGTTCGTATGAATTATTCTTTAATCAAAGATACAACCCAAAAAAATTATAATGATTATTTAAAAAAAAAATAACAAATAAAGGCATTTTATTTTTACATTCACAAATTATTTGTAACATTTTTTCGAAAAATATTTCTCCCACATAAAAAACAAATATATTTAAAGGATATAATATCCTATAGAGCTTAAAGCGTTAAACCAAAAAATTGACAATACCCTGGACTCGTATAGCATGAATTATTGCCGAATAAGATTTGTTAATAATAATACATGATAAAATAAAAAAAAAATTAAATATTTAGTAACAGGATCGTATTATTTTAAAAAAAAATAAATACGTTCTTTGTAGAACCTTTCAAAAGGTAAGCGTATGTACGAGTTTGTTCGTAATAATTCTTTCTTCAATCGCAGATAAATCCCCAAAAATTATGATTTTTTTTTTAATTAAAAATTAAAAAGGCATTTCATTTTTTACTTTCACAACTTGTTTATATTTAAACATTTTCGAAATTTTTTCTCCCAAATAAAAAACAAATATATTTAAAGAATATACTATTCTATAGACCTTAAAGCGTTAAACGAAAAAAAAATAAGATAAAAATTGACTGGACTCGTATAGCATGAATTATTGTCCAACGAGATTTTTTAATAATAATAGATGATTAAATAAAAAAAAATGAAATATTTGGGAAATAACATAAGTAACAGGATTAAATATATATTTTTTAAATAACTACATCCTCTGTAGAACTTTTCAAAAACTAAACGTACGTACGAGTTTGTTCGCATTAATTATTTTTAATCGCAAATAAATCCCAAAAAATTATGATTATTTTTTTTAATTAAAAATTAAAAAGGCATTTCATTTTTTACTTTCACAACTTGTTTATATTTAAACATTTTCGAATTTTTTTCTTCCACATAAAAAACAAATATATTTAAAGAATATACTATCCTATACACCTTAAAGCGTTAAACGAAAAAATATATAAAAAATGACAAGTTCTTCTAAATACCACAGAGAGACCTCATACACAGGTTCAATCAAAACTAGGCAATAACATGGCTGAGTGAGCCCAATGATAGTTCATAATTAGTTTCGAAAATAGAACCTGCCTTTACTGGACTAGTATAGCACGAATGTACTGCCCAATAAGATAATAATAACAGATTGTTAAATAAAAAATTTGAAATATTTGGGAAGGTTCAACGATTCCTTTCTTTACGATAAATCTGGTATCGGGCTGATTAAAAAGTTGACAATTATTGTTAACCGGAGCTAAATATAAAAATAAACAGCTCTCGACGACTTGGAGTCATTAACCGATAAACTCTCCGCCAGAGTCAGATAATATAATACACCTCGTTCCGCTGTTTGAGCAACTGCTATTTCACCTGTCGCTGTCATAAAACTATCTGTTTATTAGAAATATATATATATATATTTTTTTTTATTTTAAATAACATTATACTGAAGATAGAAAAATATATTAGCCCCATAATAGCAATTTAATTAAAAAAATACATATAATTTTTTTATATATTATTAAAATACGTAAACGTTACATTATCCATCCAAAATTAAAAAAAGTTAATTTTTAAATGTTATAATTTTAATTGTGACACGTTGCCTTTTTTTTGAAATTTTTTTTGACTTACTATAAGGATAACACTGTAGATTTTAAATCAATTTTGAAAATGAGTAAAACTAAAAAACATCAAAGTGTCCGTAAATATATATGCATATATTTAATTTTTTATGTATTTTATTCCAATACAGACTTCAGGCCTAAAGAAAAAATATTGTTCATTATTCAAAAAGTAACAAAACGTAAAAAAACAAATTCTCTTTTCGTTTTTACAAATTTAAGCATTTTTAATTAAAAAATAAAAATTAAAACTATTTAATCTACAGTTTTATAATAAACTAGAAGCTTATATGAACAATAGATCGATTATTACTATTATAAGAATTCAATGAAAAGAAAAATAATTTTAAAAAATTCATAACAGATAAATGATAAGACGCATAAAAACTTGAACATTTCATAAAAATTCTGAAACAAAA